CCTGCTCACCAAAAGGCCTGTGGAACTAGATTTCACAACCAACCAGCTCTAACCCCAAGATCTCCTTTTCTCTGACTAAATCTCTGCCAAAGAGCCCTGAATGCATAGATATGGACTCTCAAAACAAAAACAAAAACATATCAAATGTAGAAAACAAAGAATCTAGCATGGCAGTGCCTAAAGTCCTGTTACAGATGGAGGCATGTGACACTAGCATACCACCTGGAAGCCAGCCCATGAAGCAGGAACTAGCCTCCTCTCCGGGTCAGCAACCAGAAGGTCAAAGTTAGAAGGGTTCAGTCAGCTGGTTTGGTGTTTGTCTTGGGGGTGGAGTGAGAGGGCAAAGCCAGCCGTCTCAGAAAGCAAGGGGAGTTGCAGGACAACCAGGTGGTCATCTGCCCAAATATAGAAAACAAACCTTTACCTAGATTTTACTTCCAAAAGACAGCCACATTTTGCACCTGTAAAACTATTTCCTGACTGAGAGCTGACCTACATTGCTATGCCTGTCCACACTGGTAATTGTCTACCACAGGGTGCCTGTTCTCTGGCCATAGTTCTTTTCTCTGGGTTTTCAGGCTGTTAATTGGTTTCCAGGGGTTCTGTTGTACCAACTAGACTGACCCGTTCCTTGTGATCTGTCTATGGCTTCCTTGAGCATGCTCAAGAGGGAAGACACTCCCCCAAAGGCATCCAGCGGCCCCAAGGAGGCATCCTACCCACAAAAGCCACCCTAAAGAAAGAGTCATTTAGCTGTTCTTAGTACAACATTTGTGAGCCCATACAGATGGGGAAGAGAAGATCTTCAGGAACTAGAGGGGAAGGCAGGTGGGTGAGCCCCAGTGGAGAGGGCTCTCCCTTCTTTCTTAAGAGCAAAGAATCATCCAAGCAGAAGAGAATGGTGAAGATAGAGAGAGCATTGCTTGAATGTCTCACTTAAGACGACGCAGGAGAGTTCTCTGCTCTCCACTGAGAAGCCAATGACTCTATAGTATATACGGCAATGGGGGAAGGTCTTAGCGGAGAGGCCTTCCCTTTGACGGGGTCCAGCCTCTTCATCAATGTCTGGATGGGGTCAGACTTCCCGATTCCCCTGCCCAGGTGGTCTCCACTCATGACACAAATGATGGTGTGACCTCTACAGCACCATGTGAGCAGGGATCTTTTTAAAATTGATTTTCTCCATGTGATATCCCAAGTGCCTCAGAAAGCAGCTGGCACATAGAAAGAGCTAAATAAATATGGTCTAGGGAGAAAATGAATGCTCCTTTTACCCTTCCTTCCACTTTAAGGCACAGTAGATGTGAGGTATGTTCAGGAGATCTTGGGGCTCTGGTCTGCACCTGTTCTCCAGGGCTTCTCTTACAGGCCAATCACAGTTTGGATTTCACACTGTGGGGAGGGGAGCTGCTCATCACAGCTCAGGTTGTACCAATGTAGGGATGGGGGTGGGGGAAGGTCAAGGCCAACCAATGTGCACGGATAATGCCCACCCCTAGCCTCAAGATCCAGACCAGGGTGGAAGGAAGAAGGACTCCTGGAGGTATGGCTGGGGAGGGAGAGCTAGGTCAGGACAGTGAGTAATACAAGCAGGAGGCCTTCCAGAATGGAGAGGAAAAAGGCTTGTCAGAGAGTTCTTCTGATGAGTGATCACAGAGATTTCAGGACATGGTGGCTTTTCTGATTCACCGCCAGATACCACTGTGATGCATTTGGTGCCAAACCTCTGGTTAGACATGAAGCCTCATTATACAGCCTCTGTGGGGCAATGGGGTCAGCACCCTGATGATATTCTTCATAACTTCTTTGCCGGGATGTGTGTGGACATCTACATTTCAACCCACTCCTGGACACTGTTATAAAACTCACTTTTGACCAAGAGTACCAAGGAGAGTAGATTTCAGAGAGTGGGCAGTAAGTGTGGACAGGTGGTAGAAGCAAGTACAACAAAACCTGCCTGGGTAGGCTTTCTATCTGGAGGCTCTTGGCAGCAGGTTCTGTTGTCTGAAGAACGTAGAGAACATTTTGCTGGGGGCAAACCAGGCCGTGTGAGGCTGTACTGTGACTCAGCCAGGGCTTCAAGCACTAAAGGTTTTGCCCAGTTTTGGCCAGTTTAAGACATTCCAGCCCACAAACGTTCCTGAGTCAGATTCTCCAGGACAGAAAAGCTAAGGGTATTAAAAGTTCTCTGAATTCTAATCAGCTTTTTATTCTGATTTTTTTAAAGGATGGACAGACAGACTGGCAAATAGATGGACGGACTGATGGATAGACAGACAGACAGATAGATAGATATCGTGTTACTGAGGATGTCAGACAAGTGTTCTACCACTAAACCACATCCTCAGCTCTGAAACTTTTTTCAGGTACTAAGAATCAAATCCAGGGCCTCATACATGCTAGACAAGTGCTCTACCACTGAGTTTTGCACCCCTATCCGAATCAGTTTTTTGTTGTTGTTGTTGGTCGTGGGGCTTGAATTTTGGGCTTGGGTGCTGTCCCTGCGCTCTTCAGCTCAGGGCAAGTGCTCTACAGGTTGAACCACAGTGCCACTTCTGGTTTTCTATTGGTTAATTGGAGATAAGAGTCTCATGGACTTTCCAGCCCAGGCTGGCTTTGAACCGTGATCCTCAGATCTCAGCCCCCTGAGTAGCTAGGATTACAGGCATAAGCTGCCGGTGCCCAGCTCCTGATCAGTTTAAAAAATAAAATAAAATAAAAGGATTTTATAGCTTTAGGCTCTGTAAGCAATCTCTGCAAAGATTGGGATGACATTCTGGGAGTCCTGGGCAGGCTAGGCCTCTGAAGGAAGAGACTATAGCTGAGAAATTCTTTGCTGTTTACAAATACCCTCAAGAAACTAGTCTAAAACATGTCCCAAAGCACAGTCATATGTTGGAGCCAGCGTTGTAGATTTTGCTTTGAAGGAATGAACAAGGTACTGGCTCACCTTTCCCTGCACTGACACTGAATAATGCAGTGTGCAGTCTCCTTCCCAATTGCAGATAATCATCTACTCAGCGCCAGGCCTTTCAGCCACAGATTGCTGAAAAGTTCCAGTGCTGAGCAGTTCCTTGTGGTAGTTTAATCAAGGCCATGCTGTCTCCAGAGAGCAGCAAACAGGGGTGCTGTCTCCACTCCTTCCCTGTGATCTGGACAGCTATGCGCTTGGGAATCAGGAACTCGGAGTTGCAGGGGTTTCCAAGCAGTAGGAGAAGGTAGGACTGACCCTAGAGGCTTCAAGTTTTCTGTAAGCAGGGCTGTCTGCCCACCGCTCTTTCCTTTCTTGCCCTTAGACACAGATAGACCTCAGTGATGACTATTGGTCCCTAACCCAAGCCTCTCACATAGGTTCATCTTCCTAGAGCCTCTTGGCAGGTGATACACAGTAGAGAACTCTGCACCCATCACCCAGAGCCAAGCCAAGACAACTCTATAGACTAGTAGTAGACTGATTCTTCCTCCCCTTCCCCTCTCTCCCTCTCTCTTCCCTTTACCTCCTCCCCCTCCCCCTCCCCCTCCCCTCCCCCTCCCCCTCCTCCTCTTCCTTCTCCTTCTCCTTCTTCTTCATACTGAGGTATGAACTCTGGGCCTCATATTTGCTAGGCAAGCATTCTTCCTTTGGGCCTCTAGCCCTTGTATGCTTTAATTGCTTTTCATATAGGGTCTCCTGCTTTTTCCCCCCAAGACCAGCTGCAGACCAAATCTTTCTTCCTCCACTCCCCTCTCCCACCACACACCAAGGATGAGAGGTGCTCGCAGCATGCCTAGCTTGTTCTATACAGTGGGAGGTCTTGCCTCGGCTGGCCCCATACCACAAGCCTCCCTATCTCCACCTCCTGAGTGAGAGGGATTACAGTCATAAGCTACTGTGCCTGGCTTCCATCTCTTCTTTAGCCATCAAACCAAGAATATGCCCATGTCTATCGCAGCAAAGAGCTAAAGTGGTACTCAACCAAAATCAGAAAGCTTTCACCTCATGTTTACTGTAGAATAATGGTATCAAGAATGCGGAACCTAAACTCAGATCATGAAGGTGTATAGTGTCAGGGCCTCTGGCTGCATGATATTCAGGAAATTCATTTCCTTCTCTGGGTTTGTGTGGGGATCAGTCCACTTCAATGGCTTCCCACTAATTAAAAAACCTGCAAAAACAAAAGAGCAACGAGGCTGTTTTCCTTCTTTCCACTAGATGGCACTGTGTCTCCAACTGCAGCCTCCGGGGCCCAGAATAGTTCCTGCCAGTGTTCTCTGGTTCCACTTGGCCAAGCACAGGGCAGGTAGGGAGAGGGCGGCCGCTCTGCCAGGACCAGAACAAGATGGTACGATCAGGTTCTGCAGGTCAAATCGGGGCAGACCAGGAAATGATCAGGAGCTTAAATTTCCAACAGAAATTTGATTTTAAAAGGGCAAATCTTAGTTAAGAACAGATAGGCAAGTCCCTGGAGGCAGGCCTCAGACTTGGGTACTTCACTGGAACCAGAGGCTGGAGAACACTGGGGCGGGTCAGGCTGGGTCTCCACTTGCAGCTCTACTTTCCAGGTTGGCCTCTTGGAAGCAAAGACTCTGAAGCATGAGAAGGCACCCACCGTGGAGCCCTCCCCCTCCCCCCGCCCCACCTCTCCCCAGCCGAATCTACCACGTGTCCTCAAGGGGTGACAGCTCTCATCATTGTGACTGTCATCTTCCCTCATCTCTCCACAAGTTGAACATGACAAAACCCTTTTAGCTACTGTCTCCATATTGATATTATCTTTTATTATTATTATTATTTTGTAGGTACTGGGGTACTGGGGCTGGAACTTGGAGTATAGTGCTCTCACTTGCCTCTTTCCTCAAGGCTGGCATTCTACCACTTGAGCCATATTTCCATTTCTAGCTTTTTGCTGGTTAACTGCACAAAGGAATCTCATGAACTACCATCCTCAGATGTCAGCCTTCTGAAGAGCTAAGATTATAGACAGGAGCCCCAGCATCCAGCTCAATTTCATTTTATTTTTTAAAATGTGGAACACTCCATGGATTTACATGTCATCCTTGCGCAGGGGTCATGCTAATCTTCTCTGCATCGTTTCAATTTTAGTACATGTGCTGCTGAAGCGAACATTCAATTTTATTTTTTAAGAGAAGGCCAAATAGTTCATAATAATAAATGTTCCAGTATAACCATGTTGTAAAATGCAGTCACTTACCCCCTTTGGGGGGGATATTTGAAATAATTCAGTATTATTTAAAAACATTCTTTTATGGGGGTAGGTGGGGAAGAAATTGAACTAAATATATCTAAATCCACATTAATTTTTTTCTGTATAGATGGGTAATTATTAGCACATGAGGAATAAGCAGGAAGATGGTTTGGCTTGTGGCCTTTGTGTGTTATGGTTAATTTTTTTCCTTGCTAAAGTCAGAGTGCTCTCAGTTTTGCTCTGATGTTTGAAAAATATCAATAGCAAATCCCTAATGACCAGGACATATTGATTTGTAAAATTCTTTCTGTATTCCCCTAAAGCTCTTTTCCAAAGGTCAGATGCACTGACTGTTATTTTCATCATTCCCTTTCTGAATCTCACCATTGATGCTTTCCACTTAATTTTTTTAAACTTTTTTTTATTGTGAAAATACCATACAGAGGAGTTACAATTACATGTGCAAGATAATGAGTACATTTCTTATCAAGCATTGTAGCCTCCTCCTTTGTTTCCCCTTCCCATCCCTTCCCATCCTCCCCCACCCCTCCATCCACTTGATTTTTTTAAATTAATGTTCTTCCTTCTCTAAAGTGAGGACGATATCATGTTGAAAAAAGTCTCATAGTTAATAAACTTACTACCATAAAGTAACTACATTCACCACACATATTCCCCTCTGGATGCTGGCCTGCGAGACAATTATTTTGACATAATCATAGAGTACATTTTATTTGACAGAGTATTTCTTTTTATTAAAGACCTGCCAAAATTTTATCCAATATCTAGCTGACAGAGCTTTCCATGCCAAAACTGTCAATACTTAATCAAAGATGCTTCAGAACAAGGCTCAGTTAAAAGCTAAAGTGATAATGCATGATTACATTACCCAATGTGACCTACTTCATTCTCAGAAATAGTGAAGTGCTGTGGGTTCTAACTAGTAGAAATGGTCTATGAGGCCTGTACACACAGGATTCACTGACCTTCACCTGGGGCTCTCTGTTCCTGGTCCCTCCTGTGCTTTCTGGGTAACTCTACTTAGTACTTTCAGAGTTCTATTCTGGGTAACTCTACTTAGTACTTTCAGAGTTCTATTCTGCACAGCCTCTAGTTTACGACCTGTGTGGTGACACTGGCCATGTCTCCTTGCCTTTCCATCCTGGCCCATGGTTTAGCACAGCACTTTATAGTGGATAGTGTAATCAGTAAGAGACTGTCAGACAATGGGCTGCTACTAGTGACAAAATTGGCCTTCTTGGGCTGGGGGAATAGCTGGGTGGGAGAACACTTGCTTAGCATATGCAAAGCCCTGGGTTTGATCCCCAGCACCGGGATAGGGCTGGGAGAAGACTGGATAGGAAAGGATAAGGTAGGATAGGATAGGATAGGATAGGAAAAGGAAGGAAGGAAGGAAGGAAGGAAGGAAGGAAGGAAGGAAGGAAGGAAGGAAGGAAGGAAGGGACATTCCTGGATAGGAAGAGAAAGCCTGTGTCAAAAATAACAGGCAAGACAGTTTGGCTGAAGGCCTAGTTCAATGGTAAGAGTTCCTGTTGAGCAAGTTCAAGGCCCAGAGTTCAAAACCTCTGTACCACCAAAAGAAGGGAAGGAAGGAAGGAAGGGAGGGAGGGAGGGAGGGAGAGAGGGAGAGAGAGAGGGAGGGAAGGAGGGAGGGAGGGAGGGAGAGAAGGAGGGAGGGAGGAAGGGAGAAGGAGAGAGGGGAGAGAGAGAAAGAAAGAAAGAAAGAATGAGGAAGGAAGGAAAGAAAGAAAGAGAAAGAAAGAAAGAGGGAAAGGAGAAAGAGAAGGAAGAAGGAAGGGAGGGAGAGAGAAGAAGAGCAAAGAAGGAAGAGAGACAGGAGGCAAGGAGAGGGGGGAGGTGGGAAGGGAGGGAGGAAGGTGTGAAAGGAGAGGGGAAGGAAAGGAAGACAAAGGGAAGGAAGAAGGGAAGGAAGACAGAAAGGGTCTCCTTGGGGGAAAAAAGAAGGTAAGAAATAAACAGGAGCTGTCTCTCAGTTCCCCATGTTAAGGAAGAAGTCACTCTTCCTTAATATCCAAGCTTTTGCTTTCTGACTCCCACCTGGCAAAGAAGAAATGGCATGACCGCTGTATCCTCCAGGTTAGTGCACACCACTGACATCTGCAAACTCAGTGACACTCTTCGCCGGTCAATGCACATCTAGCAAATCCAGAACAGCTCCTCTGCTGGGGGCGGGGTGCTGCCTGCCCACTCCCCTACACCCCCACACACACTCACCAGCCAGATGGCTGCAGAGCCCTCCCCAGGAGGGTCAGAGCACTGTCAGTTATTACCATACAGCAACAGAGATATGCAGGGTCACTCCACTTCCCTTGGCTCTACAAAGAGGTTCAGAAATCACTTTACAGCACCACAGTGCTTGCACGGAACAAGTCAAGGTTGGTGTTCATGTTTAATTAAAACAAATGCAAAATAAACTACTGCTGTGTCCCTAGGTTTTGCTAACAGCAGCCTCACAGATACCCATAATGAGACATGGCAGGCCAGTAATTAAAATGTAGACTTGGTTTTCATGTCGTTACCAGGTAAGAACGGGCATGACTTGCGAAAATACTTAGGGAATGAGGGTAATTACTCGAGACTTCTCCGCAAGGTTCTATTAAAGCATTCCACCCAAACCCAGATGCCAGGACAAAAGAGCTACCTTTTTAATAATACTTCATCACATCATCATCTATTTATACCCCACCTTGACTCAGAAGGGATCTGAGGTAGCCAACCAGAGCAAGAAGAATAGAAATAGCTGCCATTGGTGAGCAACTTCCATGTCAGGCACTGCTTGTCAGGCATTTCTTTTGTATTGCCTGCAATTTTATGGAAATCCCGCCAGAAGAGAGAGCATGAGGGAGATAAAAGTGCAGAGTCTGGGCTGGGAAGGTGGCTCAGTGGTAGAGTGCTGGCCTCGCACGCATGAGGCCCTGGGTTCGATTCCTCAGTACCATGTAAACAGAAAAAGCAGCAAGTGGCACTGTGGCTCGTGGTAAAAGTGCTAGTCTTGAGCTGAAGAGCTGAGGGACAGTGCTCAGAACCAGAGTTCAGGCCCCACAACCAGCAGGGGGAAAAGTGCAGAATCTGAGAATTCAGGCCCTAAAATGAGGTTACTTGGTTTCTATCCAGTGCCTATGGCTTCCCAGCTATAAGACACTGACAGGTTATCTAACCTTCCAACACGCCGTGGGCCATCTGTGAAATAATCTCCATGTCCTCAGCCCCATCAGGCTGAGATTTAATGGGAGCATTGAAGTATGAAGAACAGTGTCTCACACGTAGGAAGGGTTCCACGGATGTTATAAGGTAGCAGAGATCAGCTGGTAGCCTCAGGCATGTTCCCAATCTTCCAATCCCCTTGCAGCTGGGCAAAGCCACATGATTAACTCAAGTCAATGAAATGTTACTGAGATGACATGTGTTATTGTGGTTGTTGTTTCCTGGATACAACTTTTAGGTCAGTGCATGATGTTTTGTTTTTTTTTTTTATTGTGTCCCCACGTGAGAGGCCTTAGATGGCATGTGTTGACATGGGGCAATACTAGATGGGAGACACGTAGTCCAAAGCTACAGATGGACAGAGGAGAGCTCAGGGGATATACATTCTTTACATCAAGCTAGTGGGGGAATTTCCATTCAAACTTCCTGGCTATGTGGCACCATCCCCTTAATACTTGCCTGTTTGTGAAGCCCTGCACACACATAGGGGTAAAAAGAAATCAGCCTTGCCGGGCGCTGGTGGCTCACGCCTGTAATCCTAGCTACTCAGGAGGCTGAGATCTGAGGATCGCGGTCCAAAGCCAGCCCGGGCAGGAGAGACCGTGAGACTCCTATCTCCAATAAAACCACCAGAAAACCGGAAGTGGCGCTGTAGTTCAAGTGGTAGAGCGCTCGCCTTGAGCTGAAGAGCTGAGGGACAGCGCCCAAGCCCAGAGTTCAAGCCCCACGACTGACCCCCAAAAAAAAAAATCAGCCTTGGTGAAGCACTCATTAAGATATCAGAGATGATAACTGCTGGGGAACACACAGATTGCCACCTCTGAATGTGGACCGAAGCCACCATGGAGAACAGCATCAGGAAAATGGGGAGGGGAGAAGCTTGGAATTCTTTGATCACCTGAAAAAGAGTGAGCCCTAAATCCTACGTTTGAAAGACATCAGAAGGCCTGGTACACCAGAGCCAGCAAGTGCATGGGAATCCAGGAAAGAGGACTGGCAGGTTCACGGAAGGGGGTTGAGGATGGTCTGCTAGAGCAGCCCAGGGCCAGCTGGTCAGCCAGGGAATACAGCCAGCAGAGGCAGGCCCACTCAGCCCTGTCTCAGTCTGATGGGCATGACTTGTGCTACTTCAGGGTCTCCTTTCCCTTCCCTGAAGGTCTTAGCATAATTAATGCTATATATTAAACTAGAAATCTCCTTTAGAACACCCTCCACCCCAGCAACGAGGCATAGAAATTCGCTTTTCAAACATCAGGCTAGCACATGGTTTGACTGTGTCCACTTCATGAGGCAGCTGATGATACAGTATCCTCAATCTTAACTGTCTCTGCTTTGAGGGATGAGGAACGAAGCCACCCCTTCCTCACCTGGTCCCTATACATCTTAAAATTGTCACAAAGGCAAAGTGCAGGGTTCACACACACACGCCTTTTCCCATAAAATCGTACAATTCCTGCTGCCTACCACATAAGGAAGGTATAAAAATGAGCTCAGGTGCAATAAAATGCTTTAGAAACCTCCTACAATGTGTTATGTAAGTGCTAAACATTAATTTCCAACAGCTGCCACTCAAAAACAAAACCCTAATTTAAAGGTTCTACCTCCGTTGCCTTCAAAACCTATGAGATTTTTGTCTTTGCTTTTGTAGGCCATGGGGCTTGAACTCTGGGCTT